CCGGGCACGTTGTTGCTGATGGTGGCAGGGATGACGCACATGATGATGCACAGCTCCTCGTACTGCCCGCGGGCCTCCACCAGCTGCAGCACCCCCTCGTATGCCTGCAAGCAGCCGAGGGCTGGGGAGATGCTGGCCCCAGGGCCGGATCCACATCCCAAAAGGGATGGCTTGGGGTGCCTGCACCACCTGGGATGCTGACAGCCCGCCCTGGCCCCCACCGAAACAGGGCTGAGGGTTCCCCCGCACCTCGAACCCCCCGATGACCAGCAGCCCCTGGATGTTGAATTTCCGCACATTCTCCACGATCTTTTCCATGCAGGTCTTGGGCAGAGTCCTGCGGTGGCAAAGGGGTGAAGAGACCACAGGGTAAGGATGGGGTCCCCACAATCCCAGGGGACAGCGGCATCCCCTCTGCTACATCCCCTCGCCCCCCTGGTGCTGTGCTTACCGCTTGGTGCCCAGCATGGACCCGCCGCGTCCCAGCCAGCCTGCCACGTCATGCCAGCCCACCTCACGGATCTGCAAGAAGCAGCGCTCGATTTTGGGGTGGGGGAGCACCCCACCACCCCCCTCCAAGCCCAAACCCATCCCCCTGGGAAACCCATGGCACCCAGGCTCACCGTTCCCCTCACCTGCCCCTTGGACAAGCCCTCGAAGCCGTCGCTCACTACGTAGACGGTGTGTCCCTGGCAGATGCTGATCCGCACGGCCGACCTGACGGCAGCATTCATGCCGGCGGCAGGGGCACCCACATTCAGGATGGCGAGGCTGAAGGGGCTCTGCAGGGACAGGGATGGGGACAGCACGTTGGTACGTGTCCCCAAGGTGGAGACAGTGTCCCCTGCCAATCCCCATCCCTCCTCACCTTCTCCTGCGCAGGTTTCTGGTGCGCCAGCAGCTTGTAGATGTTCCAGTTGTTCTCAAAGCTCCTGCAAGGACAAGGTGGCATGGCCCCGAGGCACACCTGGACCCTGGGGCGTTGCGGGCAGGGGGAATGTCCTCCCAGCTGCAGGAGCCGCTGGTCTGCCCCTTCGAGGAGAAGCCCCCATCCCAGCGTGTCCTTTTGGCCACCCCATAGGGATGTCTCCCCCCATCCCAGTCCCCGCTCCTCACCTCCCACGGAGCTGGATGGCCTCCTCAAACCTCTTCTCATCCATGGCCTTCTGCACATCCTTCGTCTTGGGGTGGGGAGAGAGATGCAGCACCATGACACCCAGGTTTGCAGGGAGGGGAGCGGGACCCCCACCCAGCGGGCTGGCATGCCTGATCCCCCCCCAACCCTGGTACTCACCACCTGGACGCACTCCATGAGCGGCAGCCGTACCGACTGGTTCCCCGAGAGGCTCACCACGCAGGCGGGGGTGTCCGGCGTGGCCTCCAGCAGCGCCATCACCGCCTCCATCCCCATCTTGCTGCTCTGCAAAGGGAAAGGGGCACCCACCGCCCCCCTGACACCGGGGCCACCCATGCCAGCCAGGTGGGATTCTCCCCTAGGCTCACACAGGGATGGTCCCACGGGCTTGGAAACTGGTACAGCTGCTTGTATGCCTGCTTTACAGTCAGAGAGCTGCTGATTTTATTTAAAAACCCATGAAATCTGCAGCAAACGAGGGGAAATGGGCACATCGCTCTGCCCGGCACAGCGGGCCCAAGACCTCAGGGACCGTCTGAGCCTCATCCCAGCGGGCGAGTCCTTTGCAACGGGCAGAAGCAGGGTTGCCCAGCTGCCTGCTCCTTTCTGCAGGGTGACCCCCTCCTTGAATCCCCCCCAAGACCTACCAGCACGCGGTCAAAGGCTGATGGGGTCCCTCCACGTTGCACGTGGCCAAGGACAGTGACCCGCGTGTCGAAGCCCAAGCGTTGCACCACCAGCTGCAGGGAAGAGCGAACGTCACGCCGAGGACCCGCCGGCCACCGTGGGTGCCGGAGCAGGTGCCGGAGTGGGCGCTTACGTCCTTCACGTAGTTGGAGGAAATGGGTTTGCCGCTGCGGTCAATGGCGCCCTCCGCGATGATGATGATGTTGAGCCGCGACCCTCTGCTGCGCGTCTGGCGCGGTGGGGAGGAAAACAGCCACCGTGGCTTAGCCAAAACCCACCGGTGGCCAAGTCTGAGCATCCTTCCCCCCGCTACCCGCTGTTGGCTGCTGCCTGGGGGGGTGGCTCAGGTTCTGGGCGGCCAAGCCCCCGAGCCAGCACTGCCCCTGGCACGCAAGGGCTGGATTTGCGCTCGGCTGAGTGCCCCATTTCACAGGGACAATGGTGGGAGCTCCCGAAGCTTCGCAGGGGCCAGGCACCCGCTGCGGGGCTCAGCCCGGGTGCCTGCGGGGACTCTCTGGGGAGAAAAGGGGGATGGGATTGTAGGACCCCCCCCGTCCCCGCCTCACCTCCCCGAGCCTCTCGCACATGAGGTCTTCCCAGCCGTCCTCTGGAGGGGATTCGGGGATGAAGAGCCAGTCGGCGCCTGAAGCCAAGCCGGACACCAGTGCCAGGTACCTGGGGGGGACACGGCGGTGGCAGCACCAGTCCCGAAATGTGGCATCCCATCCCACTGATGGGCTTCCCCATGCGTAGGGTCTTACCCGCAGTGGCGACCCATCACCTCCAACACGAACGTCCGCTGGTGGCTGCAAGGACATGGGTGGGAGGAGAAGGAAGGTGGGTGCGATGCCCAGGGTGGATCCAGCACCTGGCACCCAGCCCCCAGCCCGCTCACCTCTGTGCTGTGGTGGTGATGGCATCGATCACCTCCATGATGCGGTGCAGTGCTGAGTCAGTGCCGATGGTCATGTCAGTGCCACAGAAGTCGTTGTCGATGGAGCCCACCAGCCCCACGATGTTCAGGCGACAGTTCTCCCGCGCCACCTCCTCGCTGATCTGCCCTGTGGAGGGGGACGGCCGTGTCACCAGCCATTTTAGGGTGCTCCTGTCCCCCCCCAGCATCAGGCTGGATCCTGCAGCGGAGGAGCCCAGCCCTCCCTGGGGGTCACAGTGATGGAGTGGACCTCTGGACCTCAACATCCCTTGAATGCTTTCAGCTCTACCCACCCAGGGGTTTTGGGAGGGGGGTTCACCCACCATCTCGGACCAGCTCCTCCAGCAGCCCACCCCACTCAGAACGGAAGATGTCGGCGCCCGTCAGGCTGCCGTCCCCGCCGATGACGCAGAGGTTGGTGATGCCGTGTTCCACCAGGTTACGGGCAGCCCGCAGCCGGCCTGCGCGGGTGGTGAAGGCTTTGCAGCGGGCGCTGCCAATCACCGTCCCGCCCTGGAGAGAGAGGAGGGGAGTACACAGCTCATCATGCAGGTTTGGGGGGGATTTGGGGGTCCCACGGCTGCACCAGTGATCCTCACCAGCTGGATGATGTTGGAGACGCTGAGCCAGTTGGCTTGCTTGATGTTGTCTCCCCCCTCCACCAGCCCCTCGTAGCCCTGCGGAGAAGTGGGGGGTGGAGGTGAGGGGCACCCCGGCACTGGGGGGGGCCATTCCCCCCTACCTGTGATGGGGAGTGGGGAGGGGGGGCATCCCAACCTCATAGATGAGGAAGACCTTGGCTCCCACATATATCCCCATGCGGGTGACGGCGCGGACAGCGGCGTTCATCCCTGGAAAGGTGAGACGTGAGCTGGGATGGCCCCGAGGGACCCTGTGCCCCACAGGGGACCGGGTCCTATAGGTGACCTCGAAGTGTCCCCTCGAGTGGAGGGAGGGGGAGGGACCACGCAGGCAGAGACCGGGGAAACTCAGTGCACGGGTGGGAGCTGCAGATGAGCAACTGCCCGAGAGCAAGACATATTAGAAATAGCTGCTTATCCCCGGGTGGGGGGGACCCCACCGTGGGGCTTCCCCCGTGGGGCCCGTGACATCCCACGGAGGGTGCTCCGGGGGGGGGATGGGGATGGGGATGCGCCGCGGGTGGGACGCACCGACCCTACCCCCGTGGGGTGGAAACACGAGGGAGGGGTGTCCCCCGCCTGCCCGCTCCCCCGCCTCGGGCGCCCGGGGAGGAGAGTGGGCCGCGTTCCCGCTGCGCGCCCGGAGGCCCCCGCGGAGCCGGGCGGACACGGACACGCAGCCCCCACGGGGCGGGACCGGGGCCGAGCTGCCCCCCCGCCCTTCCTCCTCCTCCTCC